GGTAAGACTTTTTGAGTCTATTAGAGTCCAATAGTAGACTAACAACTGTTTTTTAAAAGGACTATATCTTTACTGGAACAAGGAAGTTTGTGACTCCAAAATCCCAGAGGATAATGTCGGGCACCTTGTTTTTGTCATAAACTCTAGCTGACATACTGATCAATGACATCTATCTGTAATTCAATGGGTCCCGGTTTAATTGGCCATAGATCTAAAGTAGTCTGAATAACGTGCTTGGCTGCTTTAAAAGCTTTTTTTTTGTTTTATTTTCCATTCAAATTTATATATATTTTTGGTAACTTTATATAAAGGTGTAAGGAGCCGACTTAAATGTGGAATATGTGCCCTCCAAAATCCAAATAATCCAACAAACTTTTGTGTTTTCTTTTTGTTACGAGGTGCTGCAAAATCCAATATCTTTTGTCTAGCTTTAGGTAAAATTTCTTGTTTTTTATTATTTTAAAGTATTTCCAAAAATTTAACATTTGAACTTGGGCCCTGAATTTTAGCTGGATTAGTTTTCCATCCATCCTCCTCAAGTGTGTCTATTACTTTTTTTAACTGTTGTTGTATATCCTTTTTTTTTTCTTTTTTTTGGATCATAATATCATCTATATAATGTATTATTTGGACATCATCGGGAGCAGGTACCTTTGCCAAGTTTTCAGCAACCTGTCGATGGCAGATAGTGGGACTATGCACATATCCCTGAGGAAGTCTAGTAAAGGTATATTGTTATCCCAGCCACGTGAAAGCAACACTTTTAGGTATAGGTATAGTGAAAAAAGCATTAGCCAAGTCTATAACAGTATACCAAGTGTCTGGATAACATTGTACTTTTTCTATAAGAGTAATCAAATCAGGGATGGCAGCTTGAATAGCCGGAGTCAATTTGTTTAGGTCTCTGTAATCTACAGTCATTCTCCATGTGCCATCACCTTTTTTAACAGGCCAGATAGGATTATTCCAGACTGTAGTTACTCTGCGAAGGACTTTTAGAGCCCAATAATCTTCTATGGTCTCAGATATTTCTTGCTGTCCTCCAGGGATGCGATATTGTCTTTGACTGACCATTTGTGTGGCAGGTGGAATTTTTACTTCATGATGCAAACGTCCCACAATTACAGCATTAATATGAAAAGACAGTAAATTGGTATCGTCCATCAGCCAAATTTAACGTCAATCCTTTTAGAATATCAATCCCAATTATATATTCTGGTATGGGCACAATCATGACTAGAAATGTGTGCCAGGGTAGTTGCCCAATTTGGATAGAAAGATTAGTGGTGACTGCCTGGATTTCTTTTCCTCCCAATCCAGTTATCAGAATTGATGTACCTTGAAACTTAGTTGGATTCCCATAGATAAGGGTGGCCTCTGCCCCTGTATCTACAAGTGCCTGCACACTAGTGGTAGATCCATTTTTCCAAAATATTTTAATTGGTACATGTGGTCTAATATCTTTTCTTATAGTGGCACTAATTGATACAGAGGTTTGACCTTCCCTTCAATCACGTAAGTCAGCAAGAAGAGGATCCGAGGGAGGAGGTGGTGCACTAGGTACAGTAGGCACTAGGTTGGAAGCATTCTCTATATTGTCCCTTTTATTTATTTGTTTTACATTCAGCCCTTTTTCTTTATACAGTTTCCATAATTCTTTAGTGTCAACTCCATCAATCTGATCTTTGGGTACTCCTGCCTGGAGTAGAGCCAAAAACATATCACCTTGAGTAATTTTATCCTTTTTAGAGAATGTTTCTCTTTTTTCCCTTCCTGGAGAGTTTTCAGTTGTCTGCCAGTCTGCCAAGTCTGCCAGCTGCATAATCTTATCTGCAAGTGTTGATATAGGGTTTTCAGTTTCGTTCATGAAAAGGGTTGTAATTATTTGTTTGTATGCCGGAGGTGCAGTTTTTATGAACTTGTTTCGCATCTGGACACTTAAAGTCATTTCATTTAAAGCTTCACCACACCCCAGAAACACAGCCTGTTTCATGGTTTCTTCTCTCATCTTTTGGACAGAATCTTTTAAAGTGTACCACAGTCTATTAGTGTCCGGCCACATATCCTCCGTGGGGTATTTATCTTGAGCTCCTTTTACTGCAAGAGCCAATAAAGTTGTACCATCAGTGTCTTGTCCACTATCATTTGGGGGGTGAGCATTCATGCTCCAATCTCTGAAAGCTCCCCGTATTACTGGATCATTGGACAAAATTACAAATTTAAAAGCATCTCCTGCATCCAGATTAATTCCTATGGCGCCCATATCATATAGGCGAACAAGCCAGGTTATAATGGCTTCTCCAGGCTTTTGCATAGCCCGGGCTACGATATCAGAAATTTCTGGTTGGGTAATATCCTCAATCACATCCTTCCTTACAGGATGATCACCATCCATTTCCATCCACTGACGGCGAAGAGGACGTGCCTCTGTGCATTTGGGCGGTTTTTTCTCTTCCTCATAATCAGTTTCTTCAGAATCATCATCCCAGATATCACCATCCCATGTGTCGGGTCCAATTTAGGGCTGGCCGATGCTATGGCCATGTGAACTTTTCGTTTATTTACCTTTCCTTTCCTCTTTCTATATTTATATTTGGCCACTCTTACAGCAGCATTTTCTGCTATAGCTTGGTAGTTGCGAGCCTGATCTCCCAGTGTATGATATTGACACTGAATCATAGCCAGTCGAAACTGTAAATCTGAAACTTCTTTCTCCAAGAGTACCTTCTCTCTCTGTATCTTATCCCTATCTTCTATAGCAGTCAACAAACACCAACCTCATCGTGTCAAAAAAGAAACATCATCTTTCTTTTTTCTTTCCATCGTCTGCAAAGCTTTGGTCACATCCAACGGTTCAAATCGTCACAGACGAACATCCCAAGATTCACATAACCCTGCCCTACAAGCCCACTTCCCAGCCAGAGTGCAAAAGGGAGGGTCCTCCCATCCTGGGATCTCCTCCACCTTGGCTTCAGTTTCCTTTCGTTTGAATTGGAAAGCCATCTCCTTAAGCGAATCCTGCTCACAGCGCCAATTATGTTATGAGAGGTTCGGGGATTCGACTGGAGACGTAAAAGAAACTTTCCACTCCAAACAAATGGACTGAAGGTATATTTTATTATATAGAGGATAGTAAAGGCGATAGTCTGTAAACAGAGCCGAACAGGTCAAATAATAAGAGGGAAAAAACACCAGCTGGCTCGGAAAGGGAAAACATCTACATCAGCTGAGATAGCAGCAGATTCGAATAGGTCATATAATAAGAGGGAAAAACATCAGATCGATCGGAAAGGGAAACACCAGATCGACTGAAGGGAAATGACACAAATCAACCGGAAAGAGAAACACCAGGTTGACCGGAAAGAGAAACACCAGGTTGACCGAAAAGAGAACATGTCAGATCAATTACTTCACAATAAATCAGTTACTCATAACGTCCACGCCCCACTGCTGGGACAGTCCTGTCAATCAACATGGCTGGGCAAGGATCACACGTCCCGGGCAAGGCGCCCCTTCCACAGGTAGAACTCTCACCAGGTCTCAGTCTCCAGCAGATTTTTATAGCATCAATAATTTCCAGAGTAAGCACTTACAGAGCTTTTCCAGAGCAAGCATTCAGTGTTTCCATGCACAAATGGTTATCAGTGGCATACGTGCACTGAGCCCCACCCCCTGGCTATCGTCCCAGCCCAGTAGTTGCATACGTGCATTGTTTACCTTGCTTATCGTCCCAGCCCAGCATAGATGGCCAGTCTGCCCCAGGCTGCGGCGCCCGACAGGCCTTGAAATTTTTACACATTGCAACTATCTCCATGGGAGAAGGGCCAGTTTCCACCATGCAGAAAGCAGCTTTTATATTTCTTTTTGTGCTAGTGGCTGTAGGTCAATGGAGCGGCCAAACATGGCTGTACTCATGTCAAGACACCCTGTATGAAATATCACCATCTTGATTGGTGACAGGAGGATCCAACATCAGCCGTGAAAGGAAGGGCCCAGCTTTGAGCACCGTTCCCTCTGGCTGCATGACCACAGAGACTTCCAAACCCTCTGCTGTAGCTTCTGATCAGCTTCCATCAGCCCCAGAGTGTAGCCCCATGTCTGATTAGGGAAGAAAAAATGGATTCCCTTGGTTCCTTTCCTTTTGCAATGTGTCTACTGCCTGCTAGGTCTCCTCTCCCCACCCTCCATAATCTGTTTCTAAGATTTCAGATGAGTTTTCTTGGCTCTTCATTCCTGATTTAAGTGGGCTGATATGCAAGGTAAAAAGCAACAAGGTATAGCAGGGTAAAATGTAAATACCTAGATTAAAAAATTTTTTAAAATCGCTAAGCAAGCAAAGGATGTAGGTAGAGTTGGGGGAGAGAATGTGGGAAGGAGATGTGCTTAGAATCAGAACGAGAAAATCAAAGCATTTATTTCAGGAGCAATTCCTCATTTACTGCTTGTCGCTTGTTCTCCGCTGTGTCCAGCGCTTAGCACAGTCCTGGCAAATAGTGCGCCATCACTAAATACACGTCTAATGAATAAATGAACACATTGAGTGAACACTCCATCCTTGAAGGTGTGCTAGCTGAGGCAGACTGACCATCTGTCAGAAATGATGTAGAAAGAATCTGTGCCCTGCGTGGAGCCTAAACCTCCACCTGTAAGATTCCTTGCAAGAATTTATGACTCCAGTAATGAATGTCAACTCATTTATTCTAGATCATTTCTCTAACCAGAAAAATAACGCAAAATTGACCAATGTGGGGTAGAGCAGTTCTTAGTGTTATACTGAATTCTTAAACAGTTCTGTGAAATAGGTTGATGTGGATAGTTCCCAAAGTGGGGCCTGCAGGTAAAATCTCTCCTTATCCTGGTGACAGTAGGAAATAAGGGGGAGCGTGTGAAAGATATCGAAGGTCCAAGTAGCCATCTCTTTCTCACAAAACCACTTGGAAATGTTTGACGAGTCATTTTCTCTGTGCGTTCGGGGTACAGGAGATCATGGAATAAAACACTCACGTCTTTCCAGTGTGGTACAACTCGAAAGCTTTGTGGGGTTGGTGAAAAGGCAGCTGATGGGTTACTAATGGATCTACATTAATTTTCTTTTGCAGGTAATCAGTCACTAGTTGCGGAATACAGTCTCTGGTTTTATAATCTGCAAAACAAAAAGGCTATTGTAATGAGATTTGAGAAATACCAAACCAAGGAAAAAAATCAAGTAAGTCATGGAGATGGGTAAAGTATTCCTCTGAAAATTTGCCATGGAACATGAGAGATAATTCATTTGTACATCAGAAGACATTGACTGCTGTTGCTAAGCATGGCTGCTACAGACAGTTCTGTTACCTAGAACTCCTTTGGAGAAAAATGGGGTCAACACTCACATGCTACTGAGTTGAAAAACGGCCCTTTTAAACTAGCAGTCCCCAACCCGCCTCCTGGGCTTCCCATTGCACAACCGTTTTCTGCTGTCTCTGTTCACACACATAAAGATGGCGTGAGAACTTACCATCAGAAGAGTGAGTGGAGATGGGAATGTTAATTTACTAGAGCTGTTGGTCAATATTTCTCAGAAATAAAGGCTTCTCTGGGAAGACAAAAACCAGCGCTAAAACACCAGGCTGGTGCATATCATTATCCAAAGAGTATTGCTCTTAAAGTAGCACAATCAACTGAATCCACCAGTGCAGAACCAAAGTTGACCGAATTATTCCAAACACGAGACAAGCCCAAAAACTATTTTGCAGAAGATAAAAATTGTGTTCAAACTTAAAAAGCCTATTTAACTAAAATCAATTTGCAAAATATACCAATTTGTTGGAGGAGAAGTCTTTGGAGACTTCTACCATTATAGCTGTGTTTCCCAAGCAGAGGAATTTTGAATTCCATGTTTCTACAAAGTTGAAAGGGATTTCACAAGAGCAACTATCTGGTCCCTTCTGTTCAACGACCCACCTCCTAAACATACGCCCTTCAGCGTCCGTCCAGAGATAACCTTCACTGTATCAAGGGAAAGCTGTGAATTTGATGGAGCCAACCCAACGATCAGACAGACACCATAGTTCAGGTGGCAGGAGTCCCAAGCAGCAATCTGATAATGAAAATGATGACCATAAGCATGTCACCACACATAAATAACAAGTACCACCACAGGCGGAAGGAATTGTGGAGTTCCTAGATTTCAAACCTCTCCCTGGGCAGATGGTACTTCAACCTCAGCTTTAGCACCACCAGTGATGGGATCTCATTAGAGAACCAGTAGAGTTTGGTGGTTAAGAGCACAGGCTCTGCTAGCTGTGTGACCTTAGGCAACTTACTTAACCTCCCTATGCCTCAGTTTCTTCATTTGTAAGAAGAAGAATAATGCTACCTCCTTCATAGAGTTGTTATGAGGATTAAGTGATTTATCATTCTTAAAACATTTAGAACACTTACTGGCATATAGTAAGTACCATGTGTTTATTAAAGAAAATTACCTACTGCCTCAAAGGCCACATACTCTATTCTTTGCCTGAGCCTCTCACTTTCCATGACTCTCTGTCCAACTTACTTCTATTAAAACAAAACAAAATACGTGCATGTGAAAGTTCATTTAAAAAAATCACTTTTCTAAGCATGTACAGTGTACTTCTTCCTATCTATCTATTTTACCTCCTTTTCTGCTTCTTAACTCTGCTCTCTTTCCCCTTTCCTCCATTTTGCCTTGTTTGTCTCTTTCCTGTTGCCCACATCACTACTTCTACTTTGTTCTTCAAGTACATTTGGTACACACCGAAATGTATTGAATGTCTACCTTCTCTCTTCTAAACTGAAAGATCCAAAAATATGGTGCCTATTTTATTCACACTTACGTCCCCAGAACTTAACACACTAGTGCATAGGAGCTCATTTTCAAATGAATAAATGGTTTTGATATAGGACAGACATAAATATCTTACATGAATTAAATAATGTTCATATTTAAATATAAAAACGTATATATGAAGAAAGAGCTAGGGATAAAGAAAAGGGAATACTGGTATGGTGGCCTTTTGCATGTTTAAACTTTGTATACCATAATGACATATTTTTAAGTACATATGGCTTTTACTTTCAAAATGAATGTTTTAGAGTGAATTTACGTTCTATTTTTAGGTCTTGGGTCCACAGTTCCAAAAAGTATGTTCAGGAGAGTTTATACTTATCTCCATGTGGATATTTAACGTGTACCCACCCACTAAGCATCTATTCGCTGTGCCCCAAGCCCACATACCATGGTATCCACAAGTCTGATGGCCTCGAAGGCAAAGTCGACACCAAAGCCCGTCATTTCCACCACCACCTGCTGGACAGGCTTCTTGAGGTTCCGAGGGTTGAGACAATCAGTGACCCTTAATGCTCTTCCCCGGGGAAATTTCTCCTCATTGATGTCAACCCCGATGATCCTGGAGGCACCAGAGGCTTTACAGCCCATGACAATGGCTGAGCCGACTCCTCCAAGTCCAAAGACCACGCAGGTGGAACCGGGGGTGACCTACAAATGCACAAGACATGTTCGTATTAGGAATCAAACCTGGACACATGTGTAATTAAGAAAATAAACAAACAAAAACAGCCATTGAGATTTTTGGAACTGTATACACCAATTGAAACATTTGGACTGATTTAGCCTAGTTTAGATGTTTTCCAGGGAAATCTCTACATACACACCAACACACAGGTACCTTCCTCACCCTGGCCGAGTGAACAGCAGCCCTGTAGCCTGTAGGCACCTCACAGCTTATGAGACGAACTTTACCCAAAGGAGCAGCATCATCAATTTTCGCCACTGCAATCTCAGGCATAGCAGTATGTTTAGTGAATGTGCTTGTGTGGAAAGAGTTGTAAATCTTTTCTCCTTTGCAGGTAAACCCGCTAGTCCCATCCAGAATTAATCCAGAAGAAGGTAGAATGCTGTTCTACAGTGACGTGGACACAGCACAGGCACCGGCACAGACACACGGAGGTGTAAAGAGAAATGAGCACCTTTAGCTACAGATCAGTGTTGTACAATATGAGTGATGTAATGACAGAGTGAGGGGCAGATCTACTCACTCTCGCTTCTCACAGAAGTTTCCCCTGGGGTGCAAGCAGGAACTGCATTCTCGACGCTGTGGAACAACGAGTGTGAGGACTTTGTCTCCTATATCCAGAAAGGAGTTAATGTGATCACTAGTTTAAAATATCATTGGAACAGGAAGACAATAGTATGTTTATAAAAATTCATTGAATGGCTTGAAAACTTGCTGTGGACAGATTACGGCAGCCAGTATAACATTATCCACGGTTGTTTTGAAGGAGAAATAATATAACCCGGTTTTAGAAATTCCATTTTTCTTTTGAGTGAATGATGGAAATGTGGGGATATTCCCTGCTGGATAGATAGTTGTAGGTCTGCTTCCCCTACTCTGGAAATTGAATAATAAAACCAGGAATGAACCTTAGAGGTGTCATCTAGTTTAACCGTTCTGTTTTCCACTTGAAGGGTTGAAGTCCCACGGTGGTTGTCACCTGCCTATAGTGGCGCAGCTAGATCACTGCAGAGCTCTTTCACTGAGTTCCTGACCATGATGGCACACTGATCCTGGCAGGCCTCTAACATGTTTTCTTTAGTGGGGCTAAGTTCTAAGATGTGCTAACTTCAGAGAATTAAAGGAATTGCTCTCCCTCTGTAGAGCAAGGCTGCTTCTGGAATACTTACTACTGAGGGTGGTTTTTAGGTTGCAGAGTTCTGGAGAAGTTATTGATTATGTTTGCAGCCAGTCATTAGCTAGCCCTCTTGGGCCCTAGGGTGACAGGCTGGGCAGGGTCCGAGAAGAAAATTAATAACACAGCCATCAGGGACTTAAGGAGGCGTGATCAGAAGTCTACCACATTGTCTTTATACGGTCCTTACACATTGTTATAACACAGAGATGACTCCCCTTTGGCCTCTCACAGAGCTTAGATGGCATTAAAAATCTCTTGTAAGTTTAGATAAGGCATCTCTTACCTTCACTGGCCCTAAAAATTTCCAAAGGTGCTGGATTTCAAATTCAGGAGAAGTTCTGCTCTCTTGTCCTTTCCCTTCAAATACTCACCATTTTCCACAAAACTTCCGCTGGAATTTTTCTAGCTGAAGATGAGTTAGAGGATATATCTTTCCTATTTGCATAATGTTCTTGGGGATGTAGGGAACAGGCCTTTTAACTTCCGTCCCTCCTACTATGCCTAGCGTCAGATGGATGGTAGGCACTCCATTGTTGCTCGCTAAATGAACACCCTGGTGATAGCTTCGCGAATGTCCCGATCATGTGCTTTCTTAAACCTCTTTGTGTGTGCCTGGCTCCAAGCTGTGAGGTTCTGTAGTCTCTTAATCTGTGTGATTGCTCTTATTCGTTCTGATCATTTCAGACATGCTGAGAATAGCTATGTCAAGATCCTTTTAGAAATGCCTGGGGAAGAGCATATACTTGCTTTCTTTGATTCTTTGAAATGTCACTATCTTCCTGTTAATGAAAATTTAAGTTGTATATTCTAGTTGGTTAGAACATTCATTCATTTGTCAAACATTCAATGCATTCTAACCCTGGGACAGGCACTGTGCTAAGCATGTGGGGGACACAAACATATAAAAGAAGCAGTCTCTACCCCTAAGGAGCTTTCAATCTCTTTAGAAGTACACTAGTCCTATGTCAACTCTCCTTTGGCTATGGGTATGTGCTTGGCTTAGCCACCGCCCCCTGGGTTGCTAGACATGACAACAGGGAGACTGTGCAACTCTTGGAATCACTGGATACATTTGGTATCATGATATGTGAAGAGTCAGGAGAATCCAGAGGTAAACCAATTTATTTCTTCTGTAAATACGTTAATGCATTGTAAGTTCCTCCTTTGTGCAAGGAGAGCCCTTTGGCAGGCTGTTGGTGAGAAGGATTTTGTGGCCCCATTTCCTACCTGGTTTCACTGAGCTCACTCCTTCGCCAATGCTCTCCACAATCTCAGCTCCTTCATGGCCTGGGATTAAAGGAAAGTTCAGGGGGAGTAATCCTTTTAGCACATGATCAGCAGAACCGCAGATCCCTGAAGACGCCATCTGCATTGAAATAAGTGACCAAGGATCAATTGGTTTGGAAGTTTTCTTTGTCTTTTATCTGAGACTGAATATTAAAAAAATGTTTTACATGAATTATCTCATTTGATCCCTACAACAACACACAGAGGAGCACAGGGCAGGTCTTTTCACCCCCAATTTAGAGGAGACGAAAGGGAGATTTGAAAACTTAGAATGACTTCCCAAAGTCACGGGGTGCATGTCCAGATCTGGTAATAAACTTAGCTCATTTGAAATCTACTCTGTGCAACCTACGTCATCAAAAAGTTCTGAAATATGAGAACAATCGCTTACAATGAAGGACTTTTTTTTTGGGGGAGGAAGATCAGCGCTGAGCTAACATCCGTGCCAATCCTCCTCTTTTTGCTGAGGAAGGCTGGCACTGAGCTAACATCCGTGCCCATCTTCCTCTACTTTATATGGGATGCCGCCACAGCATGGCCTGACAAGGGGTGCATCGGTGGGAGCCCGGAATCCGAACCTGGGCCGCCAGCAGCGGAGCGCAAGCAACCAACTGCTACTCCACGGGGCCAGCCCCTACAATGAAGGACTTTTTGACCACGTATCAATAGCACCACCATTGAGAAACACTGAATTTTAGGCTCAATATTGTGGACTGTTTCTCCCATGTTCTGGGAAAATATTCTTAAAATTTTAAACTTGTACATTGAAAACATTCTTTAAGTGAATAATGTAAAATACATTTAAGTTAAGGAAACTAACCATTGCAATATTTAACTGACATTGAGAAGTTTTAAAACTTCTTAGGTAATGGCCTAAGTTTTTTTGTCTGTGGATAGGCCCAATCCAATTACACTGATCATAAAAATGAAACATTTCATGTACCATAGCCCCTGTATTACTGTTCTGCCTGCAATACAGCCAGAGAAGCATAAACTCAAGCATACTGACCAGTTCTCCAGTATCTGCAGTGAGAGAGGCAGCATTATAGCTAGGACACTGGGAACAGCTGTGATATAACTGTGACAAATGGGTGAGAAGATATACTCGAGAGAAATATGCTTTGGTTTTTGTTCCCACAGTACTAAAGTGGCTTCCAGGGCTGAAGGCTTGAACGGCTAGACGTGTTATTTTAGGTATACAGCAGGCTAGAATCTCATTAGTTTTGTCCTACAGATCAAATAAGAATATGCAATTATTTGTGGGAAGCCTCTATAGCATAAGCCGGAGGTAGGATCGTCTGTTCTTAGGGGCAGATCCAGTTCTTACCCTTGATTTTATCCAGGGCTCGGGTCCTTGCTGCTGCAGCTTCCACTCTGGTGGGCTATTCTGCATTTATTATTTAGGGTGTAGCCTTTGTAGTTAAGAAACATATCAGTGTAAGAACAGAGACTATTGGCTAATTAACTAGTAAACATTTTATCAGATGGTGACCAGTACACAATAAGCACTAATTAAATGCTGTTTGGATGGGTGATAAATAGAAAAATATAGCTTCTGAATAGCACTCAGTTACTAACCTCCTTCCTTTGTGTACATTCTTACCACTTTCCTGTTTACCTTCTCTCATGGGTGAAACAAAGTCCTTAGCGTAACACCAGACATGGACTTGATATTTATTTAGTGTTACTTCCCATATTCTCCTGTTTGGTCTTTCACTCACCATACATCTTTTTCTACTCCTCTCCTTCCCTCCATCGCCTTTGCCTTCCGGCATCTTTCCAACTGCCGTCATTCCTTTTCTCTGTTAATCTCCCAACTGTCTTCCTATATGCCTTTGCTTTGATTAGATATGCTATGGATTAGAAGCATATGGCTTTTCGTATTTGTTGTAGTCGTCAAATCAAATGTTGAATTTCCTGGTATTAAATTAGAAGATAGGAAAATTTAATGTTTAACAAGATTCTAAGTGATAGTACTCTTGATCTTGGATATTTAATGATTTTGTAATCTTGGAGATATACTGATTGAGAGGCTGATTTTAGAGTGGCAAGGGGCTTTGACAGGTCAGTGTTTTCCCATCACTGGTCTAAGCTCTGGTCAAAAATTAATTGTTCCCTCCTTCAAATCATCTTGAAGGCCATCCTGGAGTCCTAGTTGCTCATTCCTGGAAAATGAGATTTCCACATGGTGCATGTTTTCAGGAAAATTCTAAGGTTATTTTAATGTATGAGCACAAAATAAGAGAGACAGATAATTAGTCTGTTAGTCACTGAACGTATATTTTGTTGATACCAACTTTGTATCATAGAAGCATAGAGAAATGCATTCCTTGTCCTCTTTCTCTCAAAAATGGAAAGAACTTAACACTTAAAACTCATTCGAGGTCATTTTGTGAAGTGTATAGGCCTACGATATTACATAATTTAAGTAAAAATTTTAATAATTAGAAAATAATTGTAATAGGTGGGTGAACTACCAATATTATACAATTATTAAGATTGTCTCAAACAGTCATTAACTCTATTCATTTATCTTAGTTTTAAAAATTCTTCTTTTGGGGGCCGGCCTGGTGGTGTAGTGGTCAAGTTCGTGTGTTCCGCTTTGGCAGCCCGGGGTTTGCCAGTTCAGATCCTGGGCGTGGACCTACTCACCGCTCATCAAGCCATGCTGAGGCAGCATCCCATTTAGAAAAGCTGCAACTCTACAACTATGACACACAACTATATACTGGGGCTTTGGGGAGAAAAAAGAAAAAAAAATGCTTCTTTTATTAAGAAAAGTGGACAGACCAAAAATGTAAATTATATATATATTTTATATATAAAACAAAACAGGATTTCCTTTCATTTGCCTCAAATGTAAAGGTTAAAAGACTTAAATTTACCTTAATATGAACTTCCTCAGCCTTTGGTGGCTCAACTTTCACTTCTTCAATTGAAAGGGGAGAATTTGTCTCCCAGGCAATGGCTGCCTGGTACATGAGTGTCTGTTGATGCAGGGAAGTAAAATGACATCAGTTAGGGATAGCATTTAACTTCTATTCTGATCATACAAATGACACTTACCTGTTATAATTTTACAAATGCAAAAATCGTAAAGAATCAGAACAAAGATCATTGCAATTACAGACACAAGCAGCTGAAATTTTAGCATTTTTTTCTAGTCTCTTGAGATAATTTTCATACAGTTGAGATCATGTCATATAAGCAATTTTGTATTTTGCTTTTTTGCTAATAATAGCCACCATATATCGAACATTTACCATTTACTTGTTCATAAGAATTTTCCCATGACTTCAAAATGCTTTGTATCATTTAAAATAATCAATATCAAATGACTCCTTTATATTCTGTCCTTTGAGTGTGTGCTAATTTACTTCATCAGTGACCACCTAAGTGTGTAATTATTTCCACTGTTTTGATGATTATAAAGTGTGTTGTGATGAACAGCTTTGTTCATTGTTTTGACTTGCCTGGTTTCCTCAAGTGAGAATTACTTGGGAAAAGATAAGAGACATTGTCAGAGCTGAAGTGATTGACAAGTCTCTTTACAGAAATGTTGAATAATTTGGCACAGCCTCTAGAAGGATAAAAGAATATGTATATCATCATCATTTATTCCATTCTCATTAACATTGATTGTGGTCATTAAAAACAAAATATCTGGGGCCAGCCCCAGTGACCTAGTGGTTAAGTTTGGTGCGCTCCACGTTGGTGGCCAGAGTTCAATTCATGGGCGCAGACCTACACCACTCGTCTGTCAGTGGCCATGCTGCGGTGGCGGCTCACGTACAAAAAGAGGAAGATTGGCAGCAGATGTTAGCTCAGGGCAAATCTTCCTCAGCAAAAAAACTCCCCCCACACACACAAAATATCTGACAGGCAGAAAAAGCTGTTTACTTCTTCTTGTTAGCATTTTTTGAATGCTAATGGTGTTGAATATTTTCTATGTTTATGTTGAAGGGGAGGAAGACTATCCTCTATCCACTCTGGGTCCTTTCTAGCTGGGCTACAAGTTAAGTTGACTCATGAGACCGAATAGCAGGAGAACATCAAACAAAGCTTTATAACATGTATACATGGGAGAAACTCAGAAAATAGAAACTGAGCAACTCATCATTCTAAGTTGCTCACTTAAGTATTTTTCAGCTCAAGATAAGGAGGGTGTTGGGGTAGTGGTTTGGGATTTCAGAGGGGAAGAAGACAATTCACATGGAGATGGAAATGCAAATATTTGTCAGACAACTCTTTACAGGGCCACCTATAGAGAATGTGGCTGGAGAGACAGAATTTTTGATAAGATGGGCTTGTTGGTGCCTTTCTTTTTTTTTTTTTTTTTTTTTTTTTTAAAGATTTTATTTATTTATTTTTCCCCCAAAGCCCCAGTACATAGTTGTCTGTCATAGCTGCACATCCTTCTAGTTGCTGTATGTGGGACGCGGCCTCAGCATGGCTGGAGGAGTGGTGCCTCAGTGCGCACCCGGGATCCGAACCCGGGCCGCCGGCAGCGGAGCGCACGCACTTAACCGCTAAGCCACGGGGCCGGCCCTGTTGGTGCCTTTCTTATCACATCTATTTTACATTATACTACAGCCGTCATATGGTAGTGGCTCCTTCCTGGAACAGGCCTTCTATGTTAAATTCTTTAGGCAGTTTGGGAGGGGAAAGTCAAATGTCCTTCAGAGAAAATAATCAAGGTAAAGAAACATACTTTGAGGTGTCCAATTTTGATCTCCCACAATGTTAATTATAGATATTTGCCTCTTAAGTGGAGTGTTTGTTCATATATTTCATGTACCTACTGGCATCTTGCTGTTCTTATTAATCATTGGACCTCTTTACTCATTAAAAGAGTGACCTGTTGTCTGTCAATTTGTCATACATGGTTTTCCCTTGTTGATTTTTGACCCTTAATTTTTTATAAAGTTATAGGTACACACACGTGTTTTAAAATTTTGGTTCATAAAAATCTTTTCCTTTGTTATGTATTCCATTTTGATACTTTGAAAATTGTCTCCATATAGAGACCAAATAAATATGTCTTAGCCTGTCTTTTAGGTTTTTATAGTTTGATTTTTAAACATTAAACTCTTGAATCCAACTGAAAATTATTTTGTAGTGTGAGGTGAAGTTATAGTATCTAAATGAATTGTCGCAGCATGAGCCCTTGATTGTTTCTTTCATTTCTGCTTCAATTAGCACCTTTACTATGTAAGTTCTCATATTTCCGGGTTTCTCTATGGAAGCTGTTTCTATTGTTCCATTTATCTTTCTGTCTATTCTTTTCACCAGCACCTCGATGATCTGAGTACTTTAACTTTTTGACGTATTGTGCTACCTGGTGGTACTAGTGCCCTTCGTAATTTTATGAATGCTCCATTTGCAGGTTACTGCACTAGCAATTGTAAGATATACCGAGCTGAGTAAATCTGTTATGTCTTCAAGAAATTTAGATACCAATAGAGGAGGTAATATATGTCTTGTAACACAAAGGAAAGGGACAAATGCCACAAGAGATGTTCAAATAAAGTGATATAGAAAATACTACTTCTTTCTGGGGAGAAAATAATCAGATAAAATAATTCTGCTTTTACCTACCAAACTCAAATAAAAACATATACTTTATGAAAAAATTTTCCTAATTTCAAGTGTTACACACTCAAGGCAAAAAACTTGTAGAACTCAGACAAGGGTAAAGGGGGAAGAAACTGCAAGTCTGGCACCCAGCTATTACCATTTTTCACACTTGGCTGGAGTCCTTCCCATCAATATTTGGTGTGTGTGCATGTGTGCTTGCATACTCATACTGAGAGTGCTGTTCTCTGGTCTTCTCTTCCCCTGAGCATTGTGAATAGTTTGCAGGTAATTTTGAATAACCACTTAGGACTTTATTGACTAACATATCACAACTTATTTAATCAATTTCCTAGTATTTGACATACGTTGCCTCCAATGTTGTACTCTTAAAAACAATGCTGCAGTTGACCTGTTTGTAAAAAGATATATAATTAATTTCCTTGGAATCAATTTCTGGATCAAATGATAGGCACATTTTTAAGGTTTCTGATACAATACTGTCAAATTTTCACCCAAGAAGTTTCTAGTAATTTATTTCCCCAGCAGTGGAACTCATTGTGCACGAGTTTTCACAGGTGGGAAAACATTGGATATTATCCTTAAAAATCTTTGATAATCTGATTGGAGAAATGATGTCCTAATTTTGTTTCACTTGCACTTTTTGGGTAACTAATGAAGATGATGCAGATATATTATAAAGGTAGCACAAGGGGCCGGCCTGGTGGTGTAGTGTTTAAGTTCGTGCGCTCTGCTGTAGCGGCCCAGGGTTCACAGGTTTGGATCCTGAGAGTGGACCTACCCATGGCTCCTCAAGCCACACTGTGGCGGCATCCCATATACAAAATAGAGGAAGATGGGCACAGATGTTAGCTCAGGGCTAACCTTCCTCAGAAAAAAGAGGAAGATTGGCAACAGACGTTAGCTCAGGGCCGATCTTCCTCACCAAGGAAAAAAGAAAAAAGTGTTGGCACTTACTTTGCCCAAATTGTCCATGATGAATTTTCTGGTTTCCTTGGTGTCTTATAGGTATATCCAAGAAAACTTCACTTCTTAGACTCTGCTTCTGGGAAAACTAGACCAGATGTGTGTACTTTTTACATAGCCAAAGTCATTAAAAGTTATTACACAATCACAGATCAACATGGGAAAAAAGGAACCAGCACTTAACGATCTAGCTAGTGCAGCTCTGAAACAGGGCCAAGGGTGTGGCTGGACAAATCTGTGCTGAAGAGATCAGATGTGTTATTCGTGGGTCTAGTCAGCTGTCGTGGCAGAAGCCAGGAATAGAAATGAGGTTATCCAAGGTGGATCTGTGAAAACCCTTTTGTGTAAGTGTGGATCCCCTTGACATACACAAACAGTGACAAGATTTTTGAGACCATTATATCAGCAGAAACACTGTCAATTTGGACTGAAGGGGCCAGAGACAGGATGAAATGAAGGAAGGCTGTCAGACCTCTGGGATTCTAGCAACAGGAAAAGGGTTGATAGGACTATTCAGCTACAAACATGTGCTACCCTTCAAGACAAAGGAAAAGTGACTCTGAGGGTGCAGCTGTGGATGCCAGGGCCAGAGAGACAGGGCCAGAGGGCGGAGCATCCCTGGAGCTGGAGGGTGAACTAAGCCACAGAAAATTATTCTCAGGCTTTGAAGCCTAGTAGAATTTACCCTACTGGGTTGAGAACTTTCTTTAGACCAGAGACTCCTTTATTCCTTCCCTTTTCTCCCTTTCAGAATGGAAATGTCTACCCTACGCCTGTCCTGCCATTGTACTAACTCCTTTTCTAGTTTCCCAGGGACACAGATGGGGAGGAACTTTGCCCCAGGAAGGATCATACCCAGAGTCTGACCCACACCCGATAATAAGATTTGGAACTTTTTGAGTTGAAGATATTTAGATGAGATTTAGAATTGATAGTTAATTCTAGAATAGGTTAAGACTTTGGGGGATATTGGGATGAGGTAACCGCATTTTGCACATGGGATGGGAGATTGATGTGACTTTTGGGAGGCCAGAGGAAGGACTACAGTGGGTTGAATAGTGTCCCTCCTAAATTCATGTCCATCTGGAATTTCAGAATGTGGCCTTAGTAGGAAATAGGGTCTTTGCAGACGTAATTAGTTGCGTTAAGATAAAATGAGGTCACACCAGATTAGTATGGCCCTAAGTCCAATATCACTGGTGTTTTTATAAGAAGAGGAGAGGACACACAGAGATGCAGACAGGGGAGAAGGCCATGTGATGAGGCACATTTTTGTAGGCAACAGTTTGCACAATGCCTGGAATATAGTAAGTGCTTCAGAGATGTGAACTGCATAATTATTGCTTTATAGAAAGCAATTTTTTAATGCGAAAAACAATATATGAAAAAAGAGAGAAATAGAATTGAGCCTTAAGATACT